CCCCCCCCCCCCCCCCGAACTCACACTCTGTCTCTCTCTCCTTCAGAAATAAATAAACATTAAAAAAAATTTTTTTTTAATCATCCCACCACACTAGCTTCCTCCAGGTTTGCTCAGGGCTGGTCAGGAAACAGGCAGAATGGGCAGTGTCAGACATAAATTTGGAACCCTGAATTCAAAGGTCAGCCTGTCATCAAGGCAACGAGTCTCCTTAAGAGAGGCAGCCTAACAGGGGATCCCATGGATGGGGGCCCAGGGTTAGGAAGACAGGAGCACGTGGGGCAAAGCCCACACGGCCCCTGCATAGGATGGGGGCTAATGGCCACAAACATAGCCTGGGTCCTGGGGCCCAGGAGGGCAGGGAGGCAGTGGGGCACAGGGCTAGGCCAGGGGAGGGATCCCGGGCAGGTGGACATACTGCCCCCAAAGCGGGCTGGTCGTCAGTGTCCCTGATTGCAGATGACTGACTGCCCGTGTTCTGAGCCCACCAGGGAAGCAGGACAGACGGTCACTTCTTTCGAGGGCCTCTTGCCCCACCATTCAGGCAGTGCTCTATGCCCTCAGCCCTTCTACTCTCACCAGGGCTGCTGCACCCCACATCATTGCCATCTATGGGACCTGTGCCTCCACACCCAGCCAGGGCTCTGTCATGGGTGACACACAGCTTTAACAGCTGTTGCGTGATTGTGGGCCACAGACTCTGCAAGAACAGGGGTCACATCCACCTTTTTCCTGTTGCACACCTAGCACCTTGCTCAGGGCCTGGAGCACAATGGTTGCTCGAGAAAGATCCACGGAGGAAGTCACCGGCTGGGTGGATGGATGGATGGATGAAATGCAGTTTCTCTTGCACTACTGGCCTTCCCAGTTTCCATCTCCCCAGCCAGGGGCCACCTGGGACTCCTCCGGAACCCACTAGGGGAAGAGGAAGGGGAGAGGGCCCGAAACTGAAAACTTGCAGCCACACGGGGACATCTGAGGGAACATACATGCAAAGTGCCCGGCTGTGCCTGACCCGGTGCTGGGTTTTGGGGGTATGGGGGCGGTCAGACTCCACCTGCTGTAAAGGCAGATAAATGACCCCTTGGTTGAAAGTCATGCTTCGGAGAAAGACAGTCATAGAGACAGAAGCCCAGGGAAGGCGGAGGAGAGAAATCAGAGCACTGCAGCAGTAGTCAGGGCCTCCTGGGAGAGAAGCAGAGCCTGGGCCGCCCCCTTCCACCTCAGAGTTCTCTCGGGTCCCCACGCCCATTCCTCTGTCCCCGAAGAGTTGAGGGGGGAGGGGGCGGAGCCGGCCCTCCCCCTGCCCACTCCAGCTGTCAATCTGCTGTCTGGAAGAAAGACTTGAAGCTTCATGACAACTGTGGGCAACTTTCCTCTGCCCCGCCTCCCGCCCCTGCCTGCCCTCTTGCCCTCTCCTCCCATCAGCGCCCTTTCCAGACTGCTGGGAGCCTGGCTCCCCTCCCTCTCTAGCTACCTGCTGTCCCCTCTTCCTCCCTTCCTCCCTCCCTCCCTTCCTTCCTTCCTTCCTTC